AAAAAACAAAAAACAACAGCAAAAACCAGGATTTTATCTCTTACAGGTTTTATCTCTTACAAATGTAGAAAAGAGCCCCCCTTATATGCTGTTAAATCAAACACAAACCATGAAAGATTTAGCTGTGTTTTTTCCCTTAGGAACACAGGTATAGTGCAGTGGGAAAATGTAAAAGCCAGGTACCCAGTGGTGTTTTGCACTTCTCAGCGAGCTTATAAAGGCTGAGTGTGTTGCAGTCTGGGTTGGAGGAAGTCTGTGTACACAGCACACAAATCAGGTCCCATCCAGAGGACTCTGAGGTCCCTGCGAGCGAAGACTCCTACGCAGGCTGTGTTGCCAGCACCCTCTGCCTCTGCAAGCTGCTGCATTGGTGTCGCTGTGTTAGAGACTCTGCAGAAACACAGCTGCAGCAGAGGTACAAACCAAGGACACCCAAAGGAGCCTTAGTCCGCTGGATAGGACCCCATCTGATCAAGGCTCTCCTCACACCCGTGCTTCCCCGAGGACCCGCAAGCACGCCCTGTTCATTTAGAACCCCAGGAATTGCAAAAGGCCTCTCTGGGCCTGGGCCCTGCTGCTTCCTAGCACTGACTCAGTGCTAAGAATTGGCTTCCAAAGTACCTCTCGAACCCACTCACTTCTCTTTGAATCCTTGGGCATCTGTCCAACCTGTCCCAGGCACACCGTCTCCGGTGGAAAGGAGGCAGGGGAGGACCCTTCTGCACCCATCCAGCGAGCTTCGCCCAGAGCTGCCCTTGTCCCCTGCTAACACAGCAGCACCCTCTTCTGCGCAAGGAGTCTCTCCCCAGCCCACGCTGGGAGCGAAATCCTCTGTCTCCTTTAGGACAGTCACATGTCCCTACCTCAGGGATCTTCTCTGCATGCCCACCCTGTTCTCCTTGTGGCCATAACTGTTCTTGCAGACTCCCTTGTGTGGTTATTTACGTATTTAGGGTTTCTTTGAGACAAGGTCTCACTGTGTAGCCCAGGCTGGCCTTGAACTCATGGCAATCCTCCTGCAAGCCCAGGTGCTGGATCAAGGGTGTGTGCTACCACACCGGGCTTATATTTCCATACTTTTATGTAACTGACCATGCAGTAGTTTGCTTACACCAGCCCTCCCGCTCTATGGCCATAAATCCAAGGTGACTCAGTTCCATTATACTCTTATGGGTCACCGTTATATGTGAGCCTGCCGTTGACTGACCTGTGATCATGTGGCACATGACTGCATCAGGATTTGAACCCAAGACTCCAAAACCTACTTGGTAATATATGAAAAATCGGATGTTTGAGGCAGAAAAGTCACTTGTTTTGCCTGAGCTACCCCTTCCATCACATCCCTGTGGCCACCCTGTTCTTTGCCCAATTCTTTGCCACCTCTTTCAGTTTTATTAAATTCACAGGTGCTTCTGAAATCCTCATGTGTAAGTGACAGGCACAGAGGGATAAAAAGGGGGGTAAGCCCAGTGCTTTGCCTCAAGATCAGGGGCTGGGGTTGAGTTCACTGCCCAGCAGTCTCTACCCTAAAACAAAATGACAGCTTGGTGCTAGGAGAAATAGCTACTTCATCTCTCAGTCTTGAGATTGTTGTGACTGTTTCAGCTGGAAATTACAGGAACTCCCCTGAAACTGTCTTAGCATGAAAAGGGAGGTATTGACTTTCATGCACCACAAAGTGAAGATGTTTGATCAGGCTTCAGGCATGGCTGTGTCTAGGGGCTTGGTGTCTTCTTGATGTTCCTGTCCCTCTCCATCTTGCAGGTCTTTTTCTCCATGCTAGTTTTGCTCTTGGCCAAGCTCTCTACACTTGGTGGCAAAGATGACCTCAGGCTCACATGGATCTTACATACACTGTCTCTGAAAAAGAGAGTCCTAGACAAAAGAAAGAAATGAAAGGAAGAAGTTAAACTGTCATTACTTGCTGATGATATGGATATGATACTCTACATTGAATACCCAAAAAACACCACCAAAAGACTTCTAGACTTGACAGATTCAGTAGAGTAGTTGGATACAAGGTCAACATCCAAAAATCAATACCCTTCTTGTACACAAATAACAGACTCACTGAGACAGAAATTAGGGAAACAATCCCTTTCACAATAGCAACCCCCAAAATGAAATATCTAGGAATCAATATAACAAGAAAGCAAAAGAAGGGGAGGAGGGAGTGAAGGGAGGGCAGGGACAAGGGGAAAAAAATGAGAACCAAGACTTATCATGTAAAGGTACAAGATCCCAGTAATGAATGTAACTGTACTGTATACCTAGAATGTACCAATAAACTCAATAAAAAGAAAAAAAAGAAAGCAAAAGACCTCCACATTGAGAACTGCAGGACTCTGAAAAAAAGAGATCAAAGAAGACATAAAAATAGGAAGATATCCCCTGTTTCTGGGTAGGAAGAACCAATATAGTGAAAATGACCATACTTCCAAAACTGCTATACAGATTCAATGCAATTCCAACAGTATATTTCACAGAACTAGAGAAAATAATCCAAAACTTAATTTGGAACCTGAAGAGACCTAGAATAGCAAAAGCTATTCTAGGCAACAGAGACATGGTGGGGGTATAACAATTCCGAACTTGAAACTATATTACAAAGCCACTGTTATAAAAACAGCATTCTATTGGCAAAGAAACAGACCTGAGGATCAGTGGAACAGATTAGAAGATGCAGAAATAACCCCAGACATACTCAGCTACCTCATCTTTGACAAAGAAGCCAACATCCTCATTGGAGGAAAGATAGCCTCTTTAATAAATGGTGTCGAAAAAACTGGATTTAAACTTGTCAGAGATTAAAACTAGACCAGTATACTTCACCATGCACTAAACTAAAATCCAAGTGGATTAAAAACATCAACATTAAAACAGAAACACTAAACTTGCTGGAAGATAAGTTAGGTAGAACTCTCAAAATCACTGGTATAGGAAAAGACTTTATGAACAAAATCCTCAGTAGCATGGGAAGTAACACAAAGAATCAACAACTGGGACCTCATCTTATTAAAAAGCTTCTGCACTGCAAGGGAAACCACCAACAGAGCTAAGAGACAACCTACAATGTGGGAAATAATTTTTACCAGCTGCTCCTCAGACAAAGGTCTACTATCTAGACTATATAAAAAAATTAAAAAAAAATAGACCCCCCAAATATAAAGACCCAATTCAAAAATGGGCATCTGAAATGAACAGACATTTCTCAGACAAAGAAGTAAAAGCAGCAAGTAAATATATGAAAAAATATTCCACATCACTGGTCATTCCAGTGTTGCAGATGCAAACAACACTGAGATTCCACCTCACCCCACAAAGAATGGCTCCTATAAAGAAATCGACCAATAACAAATTCTGGGGCAGTTGTAGGGAGAAAGAAACCCCTCTCCCTTGTTGGTGGGAGCACAGACTGGTGCAACCACTGTGGAAATCAACATGGAGATACCTCAAAGAGCTAGGATTAGAGGCCCCATTTGACCCAGCTATCCCTCTGCTGGGTATAGTCCCAAAATAATTAAAAGAATCATATCATAGCAATATATGCTCACCCATGTTTATAGTGGCACAGTTTGTAATAGCTAAAACTTGGAAACAGCCCAACTGGAGACTGGATAAAAAAGATATGGTTTTTCTATAAAATGGAGTACTACTCAGCCATAAAGAGTGAGTGAATTTCTAGCTAAGTGAATGCACATGGAGGACATATTCTTAAGTTAAATAAATAGTAATCACATGTATAAATACCGAATAGTTTCTCTGGAATGAAAAACTGAAGCTGGGCATGGTGGCGCACGCCTGTAATCCCAGCACCCAAGAGGCTGAGACAAGGAGGATCACTGTGAGTTCGAGACCAGCCTGGACTACACGGTGAGTTCCAGGTCAGTCTTAACTACACAGTGAGATCCTGTCTCAAAAAACAAAACAAAATAAAACAAAACAAAGTGTAAATAAGAATCAAAATGTATAATTGATATTGTGAAATAGGAAGAAAATGTCTAAAGGAGTAGGGGAAGTGGGAGGGGTGGGGGAAAGGAAAGAAAGCAAAAGAAAAATAAGAGAAAAGGAAAACATGGAAGCAAATTCTTTGTAAATAGGGAAGGGTGGAGGGGGTGAAGGGAGGGCTGGGGAATGGGGAAAATATAAGAACCAAGATACATCACATAAAGCTGCAAGATCCCAATGATGAATGTAACTGTACTGTACCAATAAACTTAATGGAGAAAAAGAAAGAGAGGGTTCTTCCCCAGATGGGGAAGAGGTGCTCGCCATCCCACCTTGGGCACAAGCTTCTCCCTTATCGCTGTGCAGACGGCAGTGTCCGACTCTGCAAGGCTCTGAGCAGCACCTGGCACAGAGCAGCTGCTCAGGAAATTCCGCTGGGCGAGTGGAAGAGAGACTGGAGAAAACTTCCTGGAGGAGGTGGCCGAAGGAGGGTGGACGTTTTCACGTCTTAGGTGACTGAATTTAGCATTTTCACTACTTCTAAGCATGCAGCTCGGTAGCATTAAGTGTGTTTGTGTTGTTGCGCAACCATAATCACGATGCACTTCCAGAACTTTTTCATCCTCAGACTGAAACTCTATGTCCATGACGTTTTTGTTTTTGCTTTTGTTTTTTGTTTTTGTTTTGTTTTGATTTTCGTTTTTGGTACCGGGTCGAACTCGGGAACTTGCACTTGCGAGGCAGGCGGCGGCACCACTGAGCTAAATCTCATTTCACCTTCCCCTAGGCCCTAGTGACCCTTCTACTTTCTGCCTCTATCAGTCTGGACACTCTAGGGACCTCATCTAAGTATCTAAGTAAAACCGCATACACTTTGTATTTCTGTGGCTGCTTTTTCTCTATTTAGCATAAGGTTTTCAAGGTTCAAGCAGGAACAGGATGAACTGGGAGTACACCAAGGCCAGGGGCTGCCTGGCACCCACATCACAATGACCACAGCCTATGACCAAACAGCCTCCTCACATAAGTCAGCTCATCTCAATGACAGTTGTGGGACCAGCGACAGGACCTTCGTGTGGCAGGGACAAGACGCCTGGGGCTGGAAGGGTAGGAGGAGCCTGGGATGGAGGAAGGAGGGGTAGGCGGTGCCCACACTGCAGCTGGTCCCCAGCCTCAGAAAAGCAGCTTTCCATGCACAGAAATCAGGGGACAAAGTGGCCCACTGAGGTCCGGCTACTACTCCACTGGCCACAGGCTGCTGACCAGAGTGCAGCCCAGGGCAGGGTTCCCTGGGAGTGAAGTGCAGTCCTCCTCAGGAACTTAGGGTCCCATGCACACACAGTGGGGTGAGCTCACCCGGGACCTCAAGGAGCCGAGGAAGAGCTGCAGGGCTGGATCTTCCTGCCACTGTTTCCCCACAGAGACTGCAGAACTCCACTGCTTTCCTCACCTGGGAACCCTGATCCTGAGCTGCGCGTGCTGAGTCCTCTGCCTCAGCCTTTCCTGCTCCTCTAGGTTGTGGGGGGCCCTGTATTCCCGGGAGAGCCCCCCTCTTCTGTGTGCCTTCCCCTCAGTGGCGCTGTGCTAATAGCTTGCAGCAGGCCATGGTAGGGGACTTACATCCAGGCACCAGTGGACACTGGAAACCTAGTGCTTGTGCTTGCCAAAAAGATGATTGTTAACACGTACCTACACACCTACACACCACTTACCCTGCTATCTGCTTTACCTGGTAAAGCGACATTTAAAGAGTCCTAAATCCTCCTGAGTCTCACTGCATCCTCTTTGTCTCAGGGCCCCTGTCCACCAGCCCCTCTCTCCCTGGGCTCCTCCTGTCCTGGCCGATGGGGTAATGTGCAGGGCAGGACCCAAGGGAAGTGGGCACAATGGGCAGAGAGGACCAGGACAGCTGTGCTTGTCTGGCACAGTTCTGGGGACAGCAGCTGCTTCACGTGCCATGGGTGAGCAGGGATAACCGGCTTATCTGTTTAGGTCCTCGGCCATGGCAGGTGTGGTGTACCCCAAACAGGTGAGCACTGTGGGTTTCTGTTACTGTGAGTGTCTCAGGGCCAAGCAGCCTCAGAAAGCAGGGGAGGGCCAGGCTCTTTAGGGCTCCATCTATTCATCCTTGTGGAATTGTTTTGTTTTGTTTTGTTTTTACAATAGACAAAAGAGATCTCAATGTTTATCGTGCTCTGGGTTTTTTGAGTTTTTCATTTAGCATGCGTATGTTAAGCACCCACAGTGTGCAGGCGTCTGTGTTGGATTTTGTGGCTGCACAGGTGCCTAAGATAAAGTCTCAACCCAGTGTAATTTGACTCCTCCCCTATACATCCCAGTATGTGCTGCCTTGGCAGGGGCTGCAAACTCTGCTATCCAAGCAGAGGGAAAAGGGGTTGATTTTTGGAAGGTGGAGAATTAAAGGGTAGGTGCACATTTAATCTGAGATTGGAGAAGATACATAGGAGTTCGATGTTGCTCAGGAACTTGGGTAACACGCCAGGTGGGAAGAAGTGAGTCAGAATAGAAGGTGAGGGAGGCGGTATCAGGGGTAGAGCCCAGGTCCTGAGGGCTCCTAATGCCACCCAATTTGGCCTTTGTCCTAGAAACAGTGAGGAGCTATCCAATGGCTTTGTGTAAAACAATGACAAGGTGCAACTCCTGTTTCCTATTCCCTCTTGTTCTCCAGGGCCGTGTAGATTCAGACTTATACCAAAGCTCCTACATGGTGGACTATAAGCCCTATGGGAAGCACAAATACTCTACGGCCACGCCACAAGAGGTAGGAAGGCAACTCTAGGCTTGTCTCTCATTCAGTTGTCCCCGCGGTGGTATCTATTTCACTTGTCTGAATGTGGACTTGGAGGCACTCGCTCAAAATAATGTTGGATGCCATGTGACCTGACTTACGGGTCTTTTGTGTGTTCGTGAGCATGAGTGTCCTAAAGTGTACATGGGAGACAAGCCACGCACAAGAGAGATTGTGGATAATGCAAATGGATAGCCTAAACAACGCTGCAAAGCAAACACTGTTTAAACCATTATCAGCCAGCCTCAGACACAGCGTGTGAATGAATGCTACCTCAGAGTCTGTGCACTGCCCGGGAGAAGCCAGCACTCTGGGTTTGGGCTTAATCATTCCTTTGTGTCTTGTTTTCTAAAGAGTAGTTTTACTCTGTATGTATGTATTATTTTAAACAAATCATTTAGTTTGTTTTTTCCATTTGGTATACATTAGATTATTTGTACTCTTCCATGGCTGCTTCTATTTTTAAACATCATTGTTCACTACAGACTTATATGTACTATCTATCCATCTATCTATCTATCTATCTATCTATCTATCTATCTATCTATCTATATATGTTTGATTTACAAGGTAGGCTTACAATGGCCACCTGCAGAGTCAGGTGTGAGAACATAAAGGGCCTGCCTGCCCACTGGAGATCTGAAGGATCCAGTCAAAGGTCAAAGGCCTGGACCTCACTGTGGAACGCTGTGTGAGTCTGTATCAGGAAGCTGAAGAGTCTCCACTGGAAGCCTAGAGATGACTGTCCCCAGGCGATGGTGAAGATTGGAGCTCCTCTGAGAAGCAGAAGCGAGACTTCCTTCTTCTTTCCCTTTCTATCTGTCCAGGCTGCAAACCTATTGGTTGGTGTCACCCACACCTAGGGAGGGACTTCCCCCTTCAATAAGTCCGTCATCCACACCCAGGACTGTGCTAAACCAATCAGCCAGGTATTGCTATTCATGCTGACACCACAGTTAGCTATGACAAGCACAGTGTATTAATCTGCCCTCTGCTATTCAGCAGTACACGGCACGAATTTGCCATGTGTTGTGTTTCTCTCTTTCCTGAGACAAAATAGCCAACATCCAAAGTTAAAGGGGGAAAAGTTTAGCTCATAGTTTGTAGAGGTTTTAGTCCATAACTGGCTGGCTCCAAAGGAAGATGGTTTGGCAGAGGGGCATAGCAGAGAATCAGTTCATGGCAAGCAGAAGACTGCAAAAACAAGCAAGCAAGGGACCTTAACAGAGACTTTCTGCCTCTTTTATCTTATCCAGACTACTTAGGGCAGGTAGCACTCACACCATTAATCCTAGTGCCCTTGAGCCTAGCATTGCACCATGAATCAATCCCAGCATCACACTAGATCCAGCCACCTCTGAAGAAGCCCCATCTCTGACTGTGTGAGGCTTTGGGGGTACAGCTAGACACAAGCCATAGCACGATGCATAAGTAGCCATCCCTTCTCCTGTAGGCAGGTGCTGGAATTACTTCCCCCACTCTCTCCTCCCAAATGCCACAGCGAAGGTGAGACACACCCTAATGTGTGTGTGCATACACGCTATTCAGAAGCTATTAGGTAAACTCACTCTCTCAATTTTCACATTACTGCCAGCAAAAGGAAGTCACTCTGTCAACTCTGAAATCTTGCCATTATTTGGCATTTACATTTTTGCCAGTTTGGTGGGTGTGAAATCCTATATTCCCTGTGCTCATAATTTTCATTTCACTTTTAATGAAGTTGGCCATCTCTTCATCTGTTTATGGGTGTTTATTCTGTTAAATGTTTGTTCCTAACTTTTGCCAATTTTTTCTATTGGATTGCTTTTTAGTAGGAATCCTTTTAAATTTTGTTATTAGGAGTGGGGTGAAACTCAGGAATACACTATCACTGAGCTACATCTCCAGACTTCTTTATGTTTTGTTTGTTTGTTTGTTTGTTTTGTTTCTGGTACTAGGGATCAAACTCAGGACCTTGCCCCGTGAGACAGATGTGGTGCCATTGAGCTAAATCCCCAGCCCTTCTTTACGTTATTTTTTTTTATTTTGAGAAAGCTTCTAAGTTGGCCAGGCTGGCCTTGAACTTATGATTCTCCTATCTCTGCCTCCCTAGTAGCTCGGATTTTGGGCATGTGTTGCTCTCCCTAGCTGTAGAAATTCCCAAAATATCCTAGGATTCTTTCATTTGTCAACTGCACATGTGGCAAGATTCTTCAGTTTATGCTTTGTTTTCATACTCTATATTTAGTGAACACAAATTCTTACTGTTAATATAATCAGATTTACCAGTCTTTTTTTTTGTACCGGGGATCGGGACCTTGTGCTTTTCGAGGCAGGTGATGGCACACTGAGCTAAATCCCCGGCTTTTACCAATCTTTTCCCTTATCATTTCTTTTCCTTCTCCTTCTTCTTCTCCCTCCTCTTCCTCTTCTTTTACTGTTTTTTGGGGTTTTTTTTGAGATAGGGTAGTTTAGGCTGGCCTTGAACTCATGGCGATCCTCCTGCCTTAGCCTCCTGTGTGCTGGGATTACAGGTGTGCACCACCATATTTGGCTTTTCTTCCTTTTTGAAAAGAAGGAAGCCTTTCCTATTTTGAGGTAGCCTCACCAAAGACCTGATCTGTACAAAGGTGGAATAATTTCTGAGACGTAGTCTTTAATGGAAGCTAGAATGAAAAATAATATGAATCATTTTTGTATAAAGCAAGTGAGGGAGATAACATACATATGTTTATAGGCATGTAAAATATTTCTATAATAATTTTACACAACACCTAACAGCAGTTTCCTCCAGAGATAGAAACCAAGGCAGAAAGAAAATAGAAAATAGATTTACCTTTCACTATAAATGCTCTTGTATGACTTCAGTATTTCCCTGTTGTATATATTAACATTCAAAAATAAATTAAAATTTTATTTTTTCAGTGCTGGGAACTGAACCCAGGGCCTCACACATGCTGGGCAAGCACTCTACCACTGAGTTACACCCCAGCCCTCAGAATTTTTTAAAGTAAGGAAACTGAGCTCTTAGCTACTTCCGAGGGACACGGCCTCGCCTTTTGCCTTTCTCTGCCCTGTGTTCACGAAGGTTCTGTCTCCACAGCAGGTGAAGCTGAATGCCCAGCTCCGGAAGGAAGAGTTTCACAGGCCCATTCCCGACCCCAGGCCCAAGCTGTCTGATGGGTACACTGCCTTCAAGGGACCCCACATGACTGCCAGAGACCTGGGACTCCCCGGCTTCTTCCCGCCGCAGGACCAAGTGGCCATTGTGGAGGACATGGGCCCGTTCAGCAGCACCTGCCCCTCGGGGTACCCAGCCTCCCTGGCCCTGCACCTGGCCCGGGGCCCCCCAAACCTGCTTCAGCAGAATGCCGACTTGCCGTGCCTCCTGGAGACCGGTTGCCAGCCTGCTGCTAAGGAGGGCAGAGGCTACCTGCTCCTGCCTGGCTGTCCCTGCCCTCGGCACCAAAGAACCAAAGTCCCCATCTTGTTTCGCTGGGGACCCCTGGTGCCATTTTACCAGTAGGAAGAGGGACAGCTCATGCCTCGGGCCATTCTGAGGGTTCAGGGATGTGAATTCCCCGGGCCACTCACTGCTCAGTCCTGGAGGCCTGAGAAGGGAATTAAAAATTAAACTGGAAAGATCCTCCAGCAGCCCCAGGACTGCAGTCCTTTACCCCATCCTCCAGCCCAGAGTCTGCAGCCTCCCTGAGGGGGGAGGGAGGGAGGGAGAGCGGGAAAGTCAGAGTGGATGGAGAACTGAAGCGCGTGTCGGATTTTGTTACAGTTAGTGCTGCCCAGGCCTGGTGGTGCACACTACAGCCCCACTGCTCTGGGACACTGAGGCAGGAGGTCAGACAGTTTAAGCCCAGCCTGAGCAACTTAGTGACTTAACAAGACCCTATTGCAAAGGGACTAGAGATATAGCTCAGTGAGAAGGCCCTAGGTTCAATTCCCAATACCACACACACACACACACACACACACAAATTGGGGGCATGGTGGCACATACCTGTAATACCAGGTCTTACGAGGCTGAGCTTGAAGTTCTATGAGCTCGAGGCCAGCCTGGACTACATAATGAGGCTCTGAATAAAAAAAAATTTTTTTTTAATTCTATACAGAGATTCTTATTGCTTTAGGCATTTATTTCCTGGTAGGGTTTGAATGTGTCCCCCACCCTTGGGCATTAGGTTTATATGTTAGAAACCAAATCCCCAAGTTAGAGGTTACTTGTTTTTGGAGCCCCCTTTGGGAAGTCATCAGGATTAGATAAGGTCACAAGGGTGGGGACCCTGTGACAGCATTAGTGGCTTTGGAAGTAGAGGAAGGAGCTGAGCTGCTGCACCTGCTCTGCCTCCCCTGAGTGACCTCGCAGGGAGAAGCCCTCATCAGACCTCGGCACCAGCATTTGGACCTCCCAACCTCCAGAACTGTGAGCCAGGCCAACTTTTATTCTTTATAAACGACCCAGTCTCAGACATGTTGTACTACTAGAAAACGGATTGTGACACTTCCAAAGTGGGAAGAGACCACGTTCCTGAGTCATTTGGACCCTGAATGTGCCTGTGGATAACTTCCCCTCTGAGCTTTTCCTCCTCTCCCACTCTTACAGCAATGGATAGCAGCAATGCATAATAAGATGGTGTTTCATACTTTTGCTCTTGCTGCGGCATCTATATAAATATATGCAATCCTGTGTCACTTACCATAGTATGTGCTCTGAGAAAGGCAACATTAGGTAACTTTGTGTTCTTATAACAACTTCAGGACTGTATCACCTGACAATCTATCCCTGTGGCCCCACCGTTGCATACGTGATCCATTAAACCCTGACTAGGTATGTAAGAGTCAGCTGGGAAACAAGAAAGCTATTATAACAAAGAGAACCAAAATACAATGGCTTGACCAACGTGCTTATTTCTCTTCCATAACCGTTCAGTGGAAGTCACTCTGGGAAGGTAGGGTATCTGTGCTGTGACTTCCGCCTCTAGGTCCAAGGTGGCTCTTAAGGACTGAATTATGCCACCCAGCTTCATAGATTGAAACTCTGCTTCCAATGCAGTACTTTATTATGATAGCCCAGGCCAACTAAGATAGCTGCTGGTCCATTTGACATTTTGCAGTTAGCTCACAGCAAGAAGCATCGAGTCCAGGTATGTTCTCTTTGAGGGGTGCAATGAAGAAATGGCATTCTTCATTTCAGTCACATGTTCTTGGCCAGAGCTGAGCCACACAGACATGCCAAACCTCAAGGAAAGCTGGGGGAAAAATGCATTCTAGCCAGGCATGTGGCGCAAGCCTGAAATCCCAGCACTCGGGAGGCTGAGGCAGGAGGATCCCTGTGAGTTCAGGACCAGCCTGGGCTACATAGTGAGATCCAGGTCAGTCTCAACTACATATGAGACCCTGTCTCAAACAACAACAACAACAACAAAACCTGCATTCTGGGTGGCCAAAGGGCCAGCTAAAAATGAGGGACTTGTTAGTACAGGAGAGGCTAGATCTTGATGGATAACTATGAATCAGTGCCCTTCTCACTTGTCCCCTCTGTGAAATGGGTGTGAGAATTCCTATATCAGAGACAGAAAGGATGAAGACAGATAACATCTGTGGCTGTGTTTTGTAAACTGTAAGGCTGTCCACATGCAGAGACTGTCAGCACTGCCCCAGCCCCCAGCCCAGTTTCTGCAGACAGCTCAGAGGTCCCTCCAGGGCCAAGGAATGACAAAGAACAGCCCTGGGGTGCACATAATGGTGGGGGTGGGGAAACAGCTGTCAGAGAGGGAGTGAAAGAGGATTTGGATCATTCTCCTTTATATTAATGATCAGGAGGAACATTTTATTAACCTTCAAGAGTTTTCTAAAGTGCATTCATGTACATTTTTATTTGGCAGGACAGATGTCCATGTGTTGGGTTCCTCCTCTACTGCTCAGCCCCTGGCTGGGAGGAGGTCTCAGCGGGGATTCAGAGACCAAGACCCAAGGCTTGGCAGCGGGGGTAGAGACCTAGCCACAAAGAGAAGCCAGGGAGCATGGCGGCTTGAGGAAAGGCTCCTGGCTCTTCCGCTCTTCCTGAACCGCAGTGTGGGCACCTGTGAGCCCAGGAGTCTGACTTAACCTGGGGATGCCCGGAGGGTCGCATAGGATGGGAAGCAGGGAACAAACCGATTTCTGTTGTAAAGCACTCTGTCTGTGGTTCGAGGCTGGAGGTGGGGACAGCAGTTCTAAGGTTCGGTGAGAGGTGGGGACCAGTGAATGCACCTGAAATCTTGTCAAATGTCTCATATTGCTTAGTATGTTTCAGGTCTATTTTGTGTGTGTGTGTGTGTGTGTGTGTGTGTGTGTGTGTAAGTTGTATTTTTTAATTACTTTTATTACACAAGTTTGCAGGACATAAGTACTTTCATCCTGGGGAGCTGGTACACCCCTCCTCTCCTACCCTTCCTCCATCACTGGGTCTCCTCCCTTTTGCAAGAGATCTGTCTACCTACGTCCTCTTATCCAGCTTTTATTTTGATCTTTTATTTGTGTGTTAGGTTACTTATACGTATGTTAGTTAAATGTTATTTGAGCTTGTGTGTGTGGTTTATTTCACCTAACATGACGATCTCAAGTGCATTCATTTTCCTACAGGTGACTCCAGCTCATCCTTCTTGATAGCAGAGTATAAATATGATGGTTTGGTTTTCCAGTGTGTGAAAAGTCTCAGGTGCTGACCACTCAGTCCCCAGCGTGGTCAGGAGACGGAGGGACCTTTAGGATATGGGATCTTGTGGAAGGAAGTTTGGTCACTAGGGTTGTGCCCTCAAAGGGGATGTGGATTCTGGCCTCTTTCTCTCTGGTTCACTTTCTGGCCACCCTGAGGCAAGTGTCGCACTCCACCACCTACCCCTGTGGCGACCTGCTGCCTTGTCACACACCGTGGCAAAACTGCCAAGGACCATGTACTGAGGCCTTGGAAGCGGCAAGGCAAAGCACATCTTCCCTCCTTTACGTCGGTCATCTCCAGTGTTTGTCCTAGCAGTGGATGCTGACTATAGACTGACTGTAACTCAGGCTTTCAGTCAACCCAGAGTTCTGACACCTACACTTGTACTGCTTCCTAGCCAGCTCTCACTCCACCTGTGTTTTTCCAGATTTGAGGAACCTGCGAAGGATACGGATCCCCCTGGAACAGCCTTTCCCTGAGGAGTTGCTCAGGAGAAATCAGCAGAACTAACCCTCGCCTAGGTGCATTTGACCTTGCTGGTGCATTCTGCTCTCTTAGAGTCAGGCTAGGGCTAGTCCAGGGGCAGTGTTCAAGTCAACCTCAATCTCACCCCCAGCCTTCTCAAACCTTAAAGTGTACATGAGTCACTTGGGACTCTTGTGAGTAGCGCATATTCAGGTCTGGAGATTTGGCTCAGTGGTTCCGCCACCTGCCTCGCACAAGCAAGGTCCTGAGTTCAATCCCCAGTACCGAAAGAAAGAAAGAAAAATGTATATTCTGAGCCAGCAGGCCTGGGATGGAAGTCAAGAGTCTGTGTTCCTGTGGATGCTCTTAGTCCAGCTGCACAGTGTGAGTGGCAAGCTCTGTCAACCTGAGCCCTGAATGCACTTTGGAATCAGCTGGGAGCTTTAGAAAATCCAGGGCTGGAAGTGCAGCTTAGCGGGAGCTTAGCAGGCACAGGCCCTTGGTGTCATCCCCAGCACCAAAATAATCACAATGCTAATCCTGCGCCAGGCTGTAATGTATGGGGCTGGAGTGAGGCCCTGTGGCAGCACTGAGGCCGGAACCCAGAGACTCGCAGTGTTGGGCCAGCGCTGTGCTACTGAGCATCACTGTCAGCCCCGAGGGTAGCGGTTCATACATATCACAGTATTCTTACCTGGAGTCAGGATTGAGACATGTTTCCTAGGACATTTCTTTAAAAGAGTTGTTTTTGGGGCAGTCGTCCTTTAAAGCTTTTGCTTCTATAAATCTTGAAAGATATGTGTCTCCTAGGACATTTCTTTAAAAGAGTTGTTTTGGGGCAGTCGTCCTTTAAAGCTTTTGCTTCTATAAATCTTGAAAGAAGCCCTGGAAGAAAAGTCACTCAACCCTGGAGATTCAGCCACAGGTGAATATGCTCAGACTTGGAACAGAGGACAGGTCATAGAGGTGCCCAGGGCCAGGGTCCCTCACACTTGCCAGCACAAGTGTCACATGATCTGACCTTCAGATGCCTGTTTTCTGGCACTATGGTAGCAATAGGCAAACCACACTTTAAAAACCAATTCCTAGTGCAGCATGGTGATGCAAGCCTGGAATCCCTGCACTCTGGGAGACTGAGGTAGGAGGGTGAAAATTTGAGCCCAGCCTGGGCAATGTAGTGATTTATTTAGCAAGATCCTGACTCAAAATTTGTAAAAAGTACCTAAAGGGCCAGAAATGTAGCTCCTTAAGAAGGTTCTGGATTCAATCCCTCCCTTTCAGTCACTCCCTTTCCCCCAGAAGAAAGCCCCCAACCCCTTTTCTGCCTTCTGCAGGAAGAGTAACACTACACATACCTGTGATGATGGTGGTGGCAGTGATTTTGTGATGCTGGGTTTGAACCCAGGGCATTTACACTGTGCTACACCCCCAGACCTTTTCACTTTCTAAAGACAGGGTC